TGACTGCAGTTGTCGCCGCTAAGGGTGGTGCAACTAGTTATTAGGTTTAGGGGGCAAATACCTTTTCACATAGGGCCAGGCAGGATTGGACATCTTTTTTCCTTTAATAACGGAAAAATCATCATCATTTATAACTGCATTTTGTATTTACTCAAGTTATCCATGTGTAATAATAAAATTTGTTTGATAATCTGAATCCTTTAAGTGTGACAAATATGCAAAAAAAAAAAAAAAATGGAAGGGGGTACATACCTTTTCATAGCACTGTATGGGCAGGTTGGTTGTACTGAAGTTATTCTATCAATCGACTTCAGTGCAACCAGCTTGTCTGTTTTTTTTTTTTTTTAAATTACTGCCGGTGGCTATAGCCGCAAGCAGTGAATATTGTATTCTGATGGTTGGGAACCTCCCACTGTCAGAATACAATAACTCTGCGGGAAGGATTTCCCCATTAACAATGAATGTGTTGATGGGGGCACCGAACAATTTTCTTTCTTTCATTCAACCATGGTTGAAGGAAATAAAATTGGTTAATATATGGCCTACCTTATAGGTTTTGGATAGCTCTTGATTGTTTATTATTTATGTTTTAGACAACTGGTGTGAAAATAACACCTTCAAAATGTTCAAGGGATGGGGGAATTACAATTACAATGTTTCACCCCTTTCCTGCCCAAACTAATTTCCAGCTTTCTGCACTGTCACATTTTAAAAGGACAATTGCTTGGTCATGCTACACTGTACCCAAATTACATTTTTATCTTTTTTTTTCATGCAAATAGAGCTCTCTTTTGGTGGTATTTACCACTTGGTTTTATATCTTTTGCTAAACGAAAAAAGACAGAAAATGTATGGGAAAAAAAAAAAAAAAAAAAAAAAAAAAGGGTTTTGTTTCCATTATAAGATTTTGCAAATAAATAATATTTCTTCATAAATTTAGGCCAATATGGATACTGCTACATTCCTTTGGTAAAAATAACCCAAATCAGTGTACAGTACCCTGAGAAAGTAGTCATGCCACTGGAAATTTTCCACATTTTGTCATGTTACAACCAAAAACAAATGTATTTTATTGGGATTTTATGTGATAGACAACCAGAAAGTGGCACATAATTGTGAAGTGAAAGGAAAATGATAAATGGTTATCAACATTTTTTTTACAAATATCTGAAAAGTGTGCCATGCATCTGTATTCAGCCCCCTTTACTCTGATACCCTAATTTAAATCTAATGGAAGCAATTGCCTTCAGAAGTCACCTAATTAGTAAATACTCCACCTGTGTGTACTTTAATCTCAGTATAAGTACAGCTGTTCTGTAAAGCCCTCAGAGGTTTGTTAGAGAACATTAGTGAACAAACAGCATCATGAAAGCCAAGGAACACACCACACAGGTCAGGTATAAAGTTGTGGAGAAGTTTAAAGCAGGGTTAGGTTAAAAAAAAATCCCAAACTTTGAACATCTCATGGAGCATTGTTCAATCCATCATCCAAAAATGGAAAGAATATGGCACAACTGCAAACCTAACAAGAAATGGCTGTCCACCTAAACTGCCAGGCTGGGCAAGGACAGCCGCCAAGAGGCCCATGGTAACTCTGGAGGAGCTGCAGAGACAGCTCAGGTAGGAGAATCTGTCCACAGGACAACTATTAGTTGTGCACACCACAAATCTGGCCTTTATGGAAGAGTGGCAAGAAGAAAGCCATGAGAAGTCCTGTTTGCAGTTTGCGAGAAGCCATGTGGGGGACACAGCAAACATGTGGAAGAAGGTGCTCTGGTCAGATGAGACCAAAAGTTAACTTTTTGGCCTAAAAGGAATACACTATGTGTGGCAGAAAACTAACACTGCACATCACCCTGAACACACCATCCCCGCCGTGAATCATGGAGGTGGCAGCATCATGTGGGGATGCTTTTCTTCAGCAGGGAAAGGTTAAGCTGGTCAGAGTTGATGGGAAGATGGATGGAGCCAAATACAGGGCAATCTTAGAAGAACTGTTAGAGTCTGCAAAAGACGAGACTGGGGCGGAGGTTCACCTTCCAGAAGGACAAAGACCCTAAGCATACAGCCAGAGCTACTATGGAATGGTTAAGATCAAAGCATATTCATGTGTTAGTATGGCCCAGTCAAAGTCCAGACCTCAATCCAATTGAGAATCTATGGGAAGACTTGAAAATTGCTTTTCACAGATGCTCTTCATCCAATCTGACAGAGCTTGAGCTATTTTGCAAAGAAGAATGGACAAAATAATCTCTCTCTAGATGTGCAAAGCTGGTGGAGAGCATACCTAAAAAGGATTGCAGCTGTAATTGCAAAGATAGTTATACAAAGTATTGACTCAGGGGGGCTGAATACAAATGCACCCTACACTTTTCAGATATTTGTCAAGACTTTTGAAAACCATTTATCATTTTCCTTCCACTTCACAATTATGTGCCAGTTTGTGTTGGTCTTTCAGATGAAATCCCAATAAAATACATTTACGTTTTTGGTTGTAACATGACAAAATGTGGAAAATTTCAAGGGGTATGAACACTTTTTCAAGGCTCTGTGTATTGTTTAGTCTTTTGGAAAATTATAGAGTCCACAAACTATACTTTTTTTTCATCTGAAAACTGATCAGTCCTGATTTACTGACGGCCTCTCTCATTTCTTGAGGCCCTAATATGCCCAGGACAGTACAAATACCCCTCAAATTACTCTTTTTTTGAAAAGTAGACGTCCAGGGTTTTCTTCACTACATATATATATATATATATATATATATATATATATATTTTTTTTACATACTGTCACCAGTTTAGTACAGCGTTATATATATATATATATATATATATATATATATATATATATATATATATATATTTATATATTTTGCACAGCTCAGGACCCTTTGTGATGTTTTTTGCTTGCTGCGAGAAGCTTGCTTCCTATCCAGCCTACGTGTATACATGTCGTGGACAAGAGGTGGTTATACAGCCATGATCCTGTTTATTTTTATTTTTTTCTTTAGAGTCAGTGATCGGCTTTTTAATTTATAAAAAGTGACCAGACGGGGCTCCAAAGTTGCCCAATCATATCTACAGGGCTTGGAAGGGGTACACCTACATTCCACCATTTCTGGGATCTGGTGACCAATGACCCCAGAAGCAACAAGGATTTCATCACTAGTTTCAGTGTGCATTTGATGCCTTGAAGATGTAAACAGTGACTGCACCACATGTGAGGTATCACCGCAAACATTGCAGCGAGAGCAATAATTCTAGCGTCAGAGCTCAGGTTTAACGATAAACTCGTAACCTGTAAAGGCTTTTGAAACATTGCATACGGACAGTTTGTACCGTAGTTTGTAGCCATTTCACAGTCGTACAAAATTTTAAATCTTTGGTATCCATTTACTTGGTGCAACATTATCTTTTATATTTTACCATAACATTGGGTATTATATTGTGTTTGTGTTCACTAAATACTGCAGGACCTCTGTTTTCAGAAAATATATGATGTTTGGTGGTTCTTTATTATTTTCAGCAAAAAAAAAATGCTGACTACAATTATGTGAAAAATGTCGTACTGGCCCAGATGACAAGTGGTTAAAAAATATCTAAACCCAGAAACCAAAAAAATTGTATATGTGAAAGCTTACTAATACTTAGATGTGGTAGCTGCACTTGTTTTTAAGCTTCAAGCTGCTTATTTAATTTTTACTTGATAATTTTGTAAATAACATGGAGTGGACTACATGTTTTTCTTTATTTCAATTACAATCTAGTAATTTACAGTAGTTGAAATAACCTTGTTTGTGCTCTCAGTTCATGTTACAAGAGTGACAAGGATGCTGTTTCTGGCAAGAACAAGTATTTCCAGTACTTGATGAAGATTAGACTATATTCTTTCAGTTCTGGTATCCTTTAAGTTGATTGCTTTTTTCTTAATTGCGCCCATGAAGTGGAATTAGAAGATGGATTTCCTGAATTTCTTCAAATTAACCCACTCATTTCTTTGCAAGTCTAGTTTCAGAGTAAATTAATATAAGCTAAGGATCTCAGCTACCCTAAAAATGTACGGTTAGTTTTTCATCTTCATGGCATTGTGTACCTGCACCTGTCCATCTAATTTGTTTGGTCATTAATTTGTTGATTGTGAAATATGCCTACTTGACATACAGAAACAACCACTGCATGTTACCTGCTGCCTTTCACAAACATCACCCTGTGCAGGAAACGTGTATGAGAGGTAAATGTTACTTTTAACATAATAAATGTTGGACTATATAAGGGTTTCTCAACATTTTTTCAGTCAAAATCATGGACAGCCCGTGGCACCATTTAAAATTATGGACCGCCTTAAGGCACCCCATTCTATTAGTTTTATATAATGCATTAACATCCATACGCGTATGATACCCAATGTTATAGGTGGTTTATTCTTCCAAAGCAAATACACTTTTACACACTGGTACTGACTAGAATTCCAGTGTTTCTCTTTTTCTTCAGTTTTTTCTCCATCACTGAGCTAATGTGACCCTAGCACTGACAGAGAGGGGCAGCAACTATATCCTCCTTAATCAACTAATGATGTCATTGGTTGTCAGGATGCTGGTGGCTAGAAGATTGTAGGGGTGCACAATGAAAACCTGGAGATTTGTGTAACTAAAAGGAAGGCTTGCTTGTTCCACCCACTGGCTTGTATACAAGTTTTGGACAATTTTTGTTTTTTTAGACATTTTTCCAAGGCACCCCTGAAAAAAACTTAAGGCACCCTGGCTGAAAAAAGCTGCACTATATAATACATAAAAAACTGAAATTAGATTCCTGTTCAAATACTTGCACTAAGTAGGCTGTCAGTGTAGACCTCCTTCTGCAAATTCTAGAAAATTCTACATGGACTTTGCCCTAAATATGCTTCCACGTGTTGTGATACATTGCATCTTGTAATGAAATCATTGCAACCTAATTCAAGTACAATCTGGAACTATACATTAGCATGGGTATCATGCTGACCTGCACAAGCTGTGGTAAGTAATCCAAAAGCTCTGCATCAGATATGGAATCGATCCACTGCACAGCGGTACGTCTCACTTCTTGATCTGGGAATCTAATTAAAAACAAAAAAAAAAAAGAGAGAGGGAGGAAGGGGGTTTATAAACAATTAAAATGTTTGAAAATATTAATTGGCTTTAATTATTAATAATTGCAGTATCGTGTTTTAACATTTCTCTCTGTCCACATATAAAAAAAATGTTGGGTTCTTCACGAACAATATTATCAAAAAGTTGAAGACCATACATATGTTCAGCTGCACAATGGTCAAATTGCAGGGTGCCAGTCACAGTAGTATAGTTAAATATAATAAATTGCTAAAAGCAGCCACTATTCAGTGCAAAGCCACTAAAACTCTCCAACCCCCCCCCCCCCCCCCCACATTGGTGAGAGATAGTTCAAATTTGCAGACAGAGCATAGAAAGCTTTGTCAGAACATATACTATGGTGAATTTACTAAAACTTCCGATTGCAGAATCTGAAGCAGTTGTGCAGAGTAACTATTCAGCTTTTATCTTCAGCTTGTTAAGCTATAAAAATGAAAGATAGAAGCTGACTGGTTCCCATACATGCATGCTCCAGAGTCTGCTAGTCTTAGGAAATTCCCTGCACTGTCTATATTATCTATTCCCTTCCCGCCAGCAGGAGCTGGCCTTTTAAGAAATCGTAACTCACAGAGGCAGTACATGGGTTTCCTGATCATGTGGTCAATGTGATTGGCATGTAATCATCAAACCTGGAAACCATGGGTATTGAAAGCATCTCCAGGTGCCTACCGCAGAGAATCCTGAAAGCTATATGTAAATATCAAATAGAATATTGAGTTCTTGGTGGAAAAAAAAATTATATATTTCTTTAAAACAATATTTACTGAATTTTATACACTTGGCACAAAAATATCTTGACATACAACTCTGTAAAACATTTTTTTTTTTCAGAACAGTGGTGAGTACAGAAGTCAGTACAACTTTTGTAGTGGAGACAAAAGACAGTATCCAATGTTACAACAAAGCAGTACAACATAAGCCCAAATTCCCTAGGAACGGAAGTTTGGTTATTCGGGCCTGAGCAATAACAACTATCAAAAAGACAATTGAGAAAGTGTCATATGGGCTAAGAAACAAAAGGCGAAGCATGGGCTCCATTACGTAACTGGGAAATATAGAGCTGTGGGGTGGGGCTACAAGAGGAGTTGGATAATCGTAGTTTGCCCAGTGTATTGGTGAGTTGAGCTTTGACATACCAAACTGAATATCGAAAAGGTTCCACATGGATGGCCAGTTCCGCAGGAGTAAAGGAGTGTTCCATAAAGTGCCGCCAATTAGAGATGAAGTGGCAGATTTAAAATTCTGGGTAATGGTGTCCAGCTTCTCCGGATTAAAATAGGGCAGTTAGTGCCTGTATTACCATTTTAAGCTGTGGAGGGTTTGGCTGTATCCAAGCTTGCATGAGTGCTCTGCGAGCTACCAACAAACAAATATGAATTTACTGAGGAAGTGCAACTTGTCGACATCGCGGGATCTTGATAATTGAAGAGACAGAGCATAGGGTCTTTGGTGAGAGAGATGTTATACAGATGATCAATGTAACAAAGAACTTGGTCCCAAAAGGTGGAAACTCGGGCACGTTCCGAAAGGCAATGAAACAGAGTAGGTACAGTGTGGTTCCACCAAGGACACGCAGGGTGGGGAATGAGAGCTGGATTCGCTGAAAAAGGATAGTAAGCTCTGTGGATGATTTAAAATTGAGTTACCCGCCATGTTTCACAGAGGAGGAGTGAAGCAATTTTCTGGTATCTCAACAATATTTTGCCTGGAGAATCGTCAGACAGTATGGGAGTCCATGGCTTAAAAGGAGAAAGATGGTACTTTTCAGACTGGTGTGAGATTAGATGGGAGTAAATTGCCGAGATGGAACAGTTATTCTGATGTAGTAGAGTTTCTATAAAGGAGCGCTGGAAAGGATGTTGTTTTGGAGAATAGTACATCTGTAGGAAGGTCACCAGCTGATGGTAGTGAAAGAGATGAAACCCTGGAAGGGAGTATTTTGCAGCTAGTACTGAAAAGGGCTGTAAGGTATGTTTGGTGTCATCAAATATAGATATGACTTCAATAAGTCCACTATGAGACCAGTGGGTAAATACTGCATGCTCACTCGCTGGAGGGAACATAGGGTTTCCAAAAATAGGCAGATGGGAGGATACCCTTGGCGGTAGGCCAAGTAGGTTGTAAAATCTAATATTCGGCAGGCCTGCACCCCCCTCACTCTTTGGGAGACTAAGCTTTTGTAATGCAATACGCAGTTTTTTACGCTGCCACAGAAAGATCTGTAGAGTCCTATTGATCTTCTAAACATCAGAATGTTTTAACAGAAGAGGGAGTGTTTGCAAAGATAGAGCAATCTTGCAAAAGAAACCAATTTTGTAAAGATGACATCTCCCAAAGAGTGAAAGGGGAAGAGTCGTCCAAACCTCCAGTTCCTGTACAATATTGTTAAAGAAGTGTAATTTAGGTAATAGAGAGACGATGGTTCTCTGCCTATGCAGATACCCAAATACATAATGGATGCGGATGCCCAAATACGTAATGGATTGGGTAGCTATACCAAAGGGAGAGGATATAGCTATACTAAAGGAAGTACTTCGCTCTTATCAAAATTGATTCTAAGCCCGGAGCATTTACGGAAGGTTGCAAACAGGTCCTGAAGTAGTAGGAAGTCTTTGGGTGGATCCGAGAAAGACAGTAATGTATCATCTGCAAAGAGTTGAGTGGAGAATAAGGTCAGAAATCGTAACACCAGTAACCCCCGATGTCGAGTTGAGCCGTCTGGACAAACGTTTAAGGGCGATATTAAAGAGTAGGGGGAGAGCAGGCAGCCCTGCTTAGTGCCTTTGGTCAAGGGAATGCTGGAGGAAATAAAGTCAGGTGTGACAAGTCTAGTCGTGGGTGAGCAGTACATGTGTTGTAGAAAGTCCAAAATAGGGCCTGAATAAGCCTCCTCATAACCATAAAGCTTATGTTGTCGAAGGCTTTTTCGGCGTCTAAAGATATAAGTGCTAGATCTATTTGTGGGTTTGTTTTAGCATGTTCCAGGGCTAATAATACTTTGCGAATGTTCAGCGTAGCCCAGCAGCCCGGCACAAACCTGGATTGGGCCAATGTTGTATTTCGGGAAGCAGTAGGGCCAACCTCGATTCCACGATTTTGGAAAGTATTTTAGCATCTACATTGATTAAAGAAATAGGTCAGTACAATTCTGGGAGCAGTGGGTCTTTCCCCTTCTTAGCTATGAGCTTAAGGAGCCAGTCGGAAGATATGGGCCATCCTCCCACATTGCTTGATAGATGTGATACAGAGTATCTGGGATGAACTCTGAAGTTAATTTGTAGAATTCCGCACTAAGACCATTGGGTCCAGGAGTTTTAGCCAAGGGCAGGTATTTAATAGTGGAACAAATGTTGTCTCGTGTAATGGGAGCATTTAAGGCATTTAGCTGGGATCCAAAAAGCTTGGGGAGATTCATAGAGAAAGTCCTCAGCAGCCCTAGAATCAATCGGTTCCTCTGAATACAAGGACGTATAGTAGGATGTGAGAAGGTCATTAATATCAGATGACAGTGTTAGGACATTGCCCACGGGTGACCGGAGCGCAGAGATACGAGTGGGAGTATGAAGGCCCGCAGTAAGCTGCGCCAACAGCTTTCCTGCCTTATTGCCATATCTATAAAATTTTAAGGTGGAAAAGGCCGATTTGGCTGCTTCCTGGTGTTCAGCCCAATAATTAAAGGCTCGTTTGGCAGATTGCCAATTCAGCCTATTCTCGTGCGTGCGATTAAGGTTAAGCGCAATATGTGCCTGACAAAGAGACTTGCCTGCTGATAAAGCAGTTGGGACCTTTTCTTAAATTGTGTGGGATAGGAGATTATGCGCCCTCTAATGAAAGCCTTCCCAGGAAGGAAAGGGGAAGGGAGTGGGGATGGGGGAGAGAGGGGGAATGGCTAAAGGAGAAACAAAAAAACACCTGAAGATCCTCTTTGCCCATCCTGGGGGACAGGTGCGCAAGGCGGATCGCCTCAGGGGAGGCATGAACAAGACAGACAAATATCAAACAGTAGCCGTTTTAAGACAAATTACATCAGTCCCTGAGAAAGCATAGAAAAACAAGGAAGAACCATTACATATCCTTCGATAAACAGTGTCCATATCCCCTTGGGGGGGGGGGGGGGGGGGGGGAGGAGGAGGGAAGATGGTGAAGAAGAAGGACTTTGAACCATGGCTGCTTCAGTGATATTGTTAAGGTATTGCTCTGCTTCCAACGGTGAGGTGAAGGATATCCTTTCTACATCCGGCAGCTGGATATGAAGAACAGTGGGTTAAGCCATTGCATTTAACCTGCCTGTGATAGAGAGTGGAGCAGATCGCAGAGTAGGCCTTAAGTTGTCGCAGGATGGCCTGACGTCAGCGTACTTCAGATAGCGAACAATGACTGGCCTAGGTTTAGGTGTGAGAGTCAGACGGCGGGCCAATATGGTGGGCTCTTTCAACCACACATCAGCGTTGCAGGCCTAGTTGCTCCGGAATGGTCGTAGCACATATGGTGATCAGCATGGAGGGAGATTACGACTCAAGGCAGGCCTATGATGTGCAAATTGTTCCACCATGAGCGGTTTTCTAGATCATATTTAAAAAAATCTCCCAAATCTCTCCTTCCACATCTACACAGCGGGAACTATACAACCCCTCATAATAGCATTTAAAAGTATCCACAATTTCTGGGGTGTATGAGGTGATTCTACCCATGCTGGTTTTAATAGCCAGTACAACAGAAGAGACAGAATTTGCCCTTTCTATTAATTTATTTTATTACAAATACTTATATAGAGCTGTCAATTTACGCTGCGCTTTACATGTATATATTGTACATTAACATCAGTACTTAACCCTCAAGGGCAGTACAATCTAACGTCCCTAACTTACATTCATACATACACATACTAGGGCCAATTTAGGCAGGATCCAATTAACCTACCAGCATGTATTCGAATCAACGACCTTAGTACTGCCAGGCGGAAGTGCTAACCATTTAGCTACTGTACTGCCCATTAACCTCCCTAACGGTATTCCCGAGTGTAGCTCGGGGTAAAATGTCTATACCAAAAGCGGTAACCCCGAGCTACACTCGGGCTTACCATGCAGCGCTGCATAGGGAGTCCCTGCAGCACTTACCTTGTCCTTGGCTCCCGCGATGTGTCCCCTGCAGCGTCCCCGGCCATCTCCTCCGGCAGATGCCGGCATCCGCCTCCTGTGTTCTGGTCCCTGTGACGTCGGGACATACGGGCGCCGCCGGCAGCGGGAAATTTGAAAATTTAACAAAAATTTAATTTTTTTTTCAAAACGACTTTACATAGTAAAACATTGCTGTTTCAACCCATTTCACATACATTTTGTCCATAGTGCTTTGTCCTGTCCCCTGTCTGCATTTTGATTGTTCTTTCTGCGTGGAAACGTAGAAAAGTCCATGGCGTCCAAAAAGTGTCCCTTTAGGTCAAAAGCGGGTTTAGATCAGCTAGAGAACAGCGATAGTAAATCAGAACCACTTGCAGAATTGAGTGATAATGATTCGTGGGGAAATTCGTCATCAGACACTGAAAACGATTTTGCGACTTTGCTCAGCGATGTGCGAACTTGGCGCTATATTTCAAATTTCAGTGTTTTTTGGTTTGATTATATTATTGAATTAAATGTATGATTTAGAATCTTGTTCAGACAGATTTCAGTGAGTTATTCCTAAAAATTACAGCCTACAATAAAAAATAATACCGCTTTCAGCACCAAAAATATGAAATAATCATACCGCTAGGGAGGTTAATGCCAACATATGACCTACACCTTCACCTCATAGCAACAGATTTTATGAAACAACCATTTATTCTCTGCCTTCTCAAGGACTAGGTTCTTATATTCTTCCTGTTTATCCGACCAATCAAGATGTGCACCAATAGCCGGATCATCCACATATTGTTTTTCTGACAATGTCACCTCTTCCATAATAGATAATTCTCACTCTTTAGTTTCATATAGTTACATAGTTAGTCTGGCTGAAAAAAAGACAAAAGTCCATCCAGTTCAACCATAAAACAAACAAACAAAAAAAAAAAACAGTTATAATCCTACACCCACAGTTGATCCAGAGGAAGGCAAAACACCCAGCAAACCATGATCCAAATTGCTCCTACAAATTTAGTGAGTCTCTTGATCCCAAAATCTGCTGCATTCCACGAAGAAAGGCCTTGAGAGCATCCCACATTACCCCCTGGTGCCACAGTACCTACATTCATTTCCACAAACTCCCTTAACATCAACACAGATTCTGGCTTCCCTATTAACTCAAACCAAAAGGGATTAATTTTCCATTCTGTTGGATAATGACTTCTGCCCAGCCGCATTGACAGAATTATGGGAGAGTGATCAGAAAGGCCTATGGGCATATAATTTACACTAGATACAAAACCAAGGGCATTATCATATCCCTGGGCAGGGTCAATCCTTGAGAGTGAAAAAGGAGTACAGGAAAAGCAGGAATACTGACAACTAGCCAGATGTCACAACCTCCACACATCATATAACCTTGCTTCTTTAATAAGTTGAGCAAATATACTGTTAACACTACCATCTGCAGATATGCCGGGTGGGAGCCTATCCATCTTCGCATCCAGCACCATCCCCTACCACTAATACTAGCACTCCAGGTTTGTCTACAATAAATTGCATCAAAATGATGCAAAACCTTGCTTTTAAATGGTGGGGGAATATACACATTTGCCAGTATACACAAGATGCTTTCAAAAGAATAAAGAAAAAGACACCCTCCTCATCAATACAGGATTGCCTGCAGGAAAAAAAAACAAAGCAAAAACACATCAGACCCAATCAGAACACTCACTCATCTAGAGTATGCTGTATAAATGGTATAATACTGTAGACTAAAATGTTTACACTTTAACTGATCAATGGCATCCTTGACCAGGTGTGTCTCCTGCAGGCAACATACTGAAGCATTATAAGTTTTTGTTGCAGAAAAAAACTGCCATTTTCTTCACAGGATCCCCAGACATTCCAGGAGCATAAATTTATGGTTTTACCTAACATACAAATATCTCCAATATGCAGGTATTGGATAAATTACCCCACACACAAAAATTAAAAAAAAAAAAAAGTAAAAGAATATAAAAAATATAGTACATCTGGCTATGTTTTTGAGCTCCCTCTCTCTTTCAACATAATACTCAACCATAAAATGATACACCTCCTAAAGAAAGAGCCTATATAAAAAGAAGAAAAACCCACAATAATAACCAAAGAAAAAGGAAAACAAAGAAAAAAAAAATATAGGAGAAAATATGATAGAAAAAAAAAAAATCACCCCCCCCCCCCCTTCACACATACACAACTATCTGGCCCTCCCTGGGCTTAAGAAGTAACATTTAAAGTGGACCCTAATACTTGCCCATTCTGAAAAAGAAATAGAAAGAAAAAAAATAACAAAAAAGGTTAATCAACTGTGCCACCCTCCTGATATATGCATATTTAAGATAGAAATTTAGTCCATTTCTGTCCATAGCCTTTTCTCATTCTTCTCCAACCATGCAACTGCTTCTGCCAGAGTACCAAAGAAGTGGGTTTCCCCACAGGCTGCAACCCGTAACCATGAAGAATATAACACAGCATATGACACGTTCAAATGCTGCAGCCTGCGTTTAACCTCCACAAACTCTGCCCTTTTCTACTGCAACTCTGGGGAGAAATCTGGGTACAGGGAGATTCTGGCTCCATTATAGAATATTTCCTTCATTTCCCTGGCTTTCTGCAATAGTCACCTTGTCCTTATAGTGTACAGTTTTAAATAAGCACAGACCTAGGGTGACCCCCTGGTGGTGGAGACCTAGAATCACCCTGTGAGCCTCTTCTATGGCAAACAGAATTTTAAAAGAATCTCTCCTAAAGTATCCACCAGCCATTTTTCTAAAAATTCAAGACTGTTCTCCGAGTCCTCCACTTTAGGTGTATACATTTACTTTTTTTCTCACATTGCTTTCATCTCCTGTTTCATCAGGTTCACATCATCTTTCATCATACTAATCCTGCCCTCTAATGCTGTTGTGCATTCCCACACCTTTTGCAAATCATGCCAAGGAAGGACACATCATCTTTAATACTCTTGAGCTGGTCAAATATCTCAAGCAAGGAGCCATTACAGTTATTGACTGCTTGAAGGACTTCTCTCAGGGAAGGTTCTTCTTCTGTCACTCCATCCACTTTTGTGGAATTCGCCACTGCTGCCACAGCTCCTGCATTGTTTGACCCTCTGGGCTCTCTATGCTGGCGCCATCTTGCAGCGCTATCTCCTCTTCTTTTACTTGGTCATGCTCACAGAAAGGTAGGCTGTGCATGTAAGCTGTATATGATGGCTACACACCTCCTACGCTCCTCCAGCCGGTAACACAGCACCCAACGGGTCCCTAGGGTGTTCACCAGCCTGCTTGTCCAACAGCCTAGTCACCAAGCCATTCTGGTTCCAAGATTCTCACCCCAAATTGCAGCACTACTCAGCCCAGACTCAGCCAATTAGGTTGTAGTCTTTTTGCAGTCTCACACTGCTCAGGAAGTATACAGCTACTTAGGATGTCAAGGCAGATGCAGGGCTGCACACCTGCACTCACATTAGCTCCTGTCCACACTCTTCCCATTTCATTGATGATTTTGACAGCATTAAGTCGGCCAAGCCATGATATCTGATATCGGGACCATGTTCCAAGGAGGGGAACAAAGGATCGGATAGCTTGATCTAATTTATCACAAGAAGGTGTCACGTGAATCCCCGAGTTTGGGACATACATAGTACACGACAAAAGAAAGAACTCTGCAGAGCAGAAAGGGTGGCAGGATGGAGCAACATATCCATAACCAATGACTTGCCCGGGTTAACTTAAAGTCCTGAGAAAGATGCGAAAGTGTCCAGAACCTGAAACAGACAAGGCAACAACACTAGTGGGGATGTGAGTGTGAAAAAGATGTCATCTTATCATGAATAGGTGTTTTTCCACCCCTTGATACCTGTGCAAGCTCAGATAGACAATGCCAGCGGCTCAAAAGCCAGTATTAACAGGATCGGTACTATCAAACACCCCTACAAATACGAAACCATGGAGACTGAAAACCTGATTACCGGATCGAGGTAGAGGGAGAGGAGTATAAAATGCAGTGATCCAGTTTAAGGAATGTACCCTGAATCCCCATTTACGAGGGGTAAAGAAGATATACTGCCATGAAACACTGGCTTCACTTTCACACATGATGATTTCAATGGATATTTATGATTCACATTTGTGCAATAATTGCAACACCACAGGGATGATTTACTAAAACCGGTGAGTGCAAAATCTGGTGCAGCTCTGCATAGAAACCAATCAGCTTCCATGTTTTTTTTTTGACAAAACTTCATTGAACAAGCTGACATTAGAAGCCGATTGGTTTCAATGCAGAGCTGCACCAGATTTTGCACGCTCCAGTTTTAGTAAATCAACCATGTTTTGAATGGTTTGAGCATATTTTGCAGACATTTGTTTGCTTTTATGTACATTTTGATTTAATTCACATTGATTATAGGATGCACACCTATAGGTTTATATAGACACTGTATGTACCCTTCTTTTTTGCTGTAACTGGGATAAAATTTAGCAGCAAGGAACATTTGTAACAATATAATGGATATAAAAAAGATTAATATATTTTTATACATGCACATTAGCTCATGCATACTTTAAAAAGTAGATAACAAAAATGTAACTACATTGTATAATAAATGAAATTAGCAGTCTTATCACATACGTGGCATGAAGTAGCCCCAGAGCATCCTGATGTTTCATTTGAGTCCAATGGTCCAGTAGGCCATAAATATCTGGCAAGCACGCCCATTGCCAACTAGGTGCACTGGCCAGCACCAAGGGAAGGGAGCTGACCTCAGAATAGCAGTAATAGCGCATTTCCCACAATCGTTTTTTATCCACATCCGTCAGCCTAGAATATAATAAAGCAATGCAACTGATTATATAAAAAAAACTGTAGACAATTGATAGAAACCTATAAAACAGCCTATTATGAGGTTTTGTTTTACAGAACCAACAATGCAAATTCTTACAATCAGTCCACATGCTGTACCAACTCAACACATACAGGTGAAACTCGAAAAATTTGAATATCATCCAAAAGTTAATTTATTTCAGTAATGCAACTTAAAAGGTGAAACTAATATATGAGATAGACTCATTACATGCAAAGCAGGATAGTTCAAGCCGTGGTTTGTCATAGTTGTGATGATTATGGCTTACAGCTCATGAAAACCCCAAATCCACAATCTCAGAAAATTAGAATATTACATGCAATCAATAAAACAAGGATTGTACATACAACAACATCGGACCGCTGAAAAGTATAAGCATGCATATGTACTCAGTACTTGGTTTGGGCCCCTTTTGCACCAATTACTGCCTCAATGCGGCGTGGCATGGAAGCTATCAGCCTGTGGCACTGCTGAGGTGTTATGGAAGACCAGGATGCTTCAATAGCGGCCTTCAGCTCTTCTGCATTGTTCGGTCTCATGTCTCTCATCTTTCTCTTGGCAATGCCCCATAGATGCTCTATGGGGTTCAGGTCAGGCAAGTTTGCAGGCCAATCAAGCACAGTAACCCCACGGTCATTGAACCAGGTTTTGGTGCTTTTGGCAGTGTGGGCAGGTGCCAAGTCCTGCTGGAAAATGAAGTCAGCATCCCCATAGAGCTTGTATGCGGAAAGAAGCATGAAGTGCTCCAAAATCTCCTGGTAGACGGCTGCGTTGACACTGGACTTAATGAAGCACAGTGGACCAACACCAGCAGATGACATGGCTCCCCAAATCAACACAGACTGTGGAAACTTCACACTGGATTTCAAGCATCTTGCAATGTGTGCCTCTCCATTCTTCCTCCATACTCCGGGTCCTTGGTTTCCAAATGAGATCCAAAAGTTGCTCTCATCAGAAAAGAGGACTTTGGACCACTGAGCAACAGACCAGGTCTGTTTTTCTTTAGCCTAGGTAAGACGCTTCTGACGTTGTTTATTGTTCAGGAGCGGCTTGACAAGAGGAATACGACATTTGAAGCCCATGTCCAAGATCCGTCTGTGTGTGGTGGCTCTTGATGCACTGACTCCAGCCTCAGTCCACTCCTTGTGAAAGTCCCCAACACTTTTGAATGGCCTTTTCCTGACAATCCTCTCCAGGCTGCGGTCATCCCTGCTGCTTGTGCACCTTTTTCTTCCACACTTTTCCCTTCCACATAACTTTCTATTAATGTGCTTTGATACAGCACTTTGGGAACATCCAACTTCTGCAATTACCTTTTGAGTCTTTCCCTCCTTATGGAGGGTGTCAATGATGGTTTTCTGCACAACTGTCAGGTCAGCAGTCTTTCCCATGATTGTGATTCCTACTGAACCAGACTGAGAGACTATTTAAAGGCTCAGGAACCCTTTGCAGGTGTTATGGCTTAATTAGTTGATTAGAGTTTTTGAGCCTTTGAGCCTAGAATATTGCACCTTTTCACAATATTCTAATTTTCTGAGATTGTGGATTTGGGGTTTTCATAAGCTGTAAGCCATAATCATCACAATTATGACAAATCATGGCTTGAACTATCTTGTTTTGCATGTAATGAGTCTATCTCATATTAGTTTCACCTTTTAAGTTGCATTACTGAAATAAATGAACTTTTGCACAATATTTTAATTTTTCGAGTTTCACCCGTATATACAGTGAGGAACAGAAGTATTTGAACACCCTGCGATTTTGCAAGTTCTCCCACTTAGAAATCATGGAGGGGTCTGAAATTCGCATTGTATGTGCATTTCCACTCTGAGAGACAGAATTAAAAAAAAAAAAATTTAGGAAATCACATTGTATGATTTTTAAAGAATTTACTTGTCTTGCACTGCTGAACATAAGTATTTGAACACCTGAGAAAATCAGTGTTAATGATTTCTAAGTGGGAGAACTTGCAAAATCGCAGGGTGTTCAAATACTTCTGTTCCTCACTGTACACTAGCAAAACTAAATTTACTGGCTAGAAGAAATGCACAATAAGAACATCTGTATCAGCATTCCTCCCAACAGTCCTGGCTTGTGTGGGACTGTCCCTAATCTATTTCGTAGCTTGCCAGCACTATCATGTGTTTCATTAACATATATTTTAAATTATCGTAGTGCTACTTCCCTATTCCTACTAATTAAAAAAAAAAAAAAAAAAAAAATCAGTGTTATCCATTTACTAATTGTGTGCTAGTACATATAAGACACTCCCAATGTGTCAATCTTTATATGTTCAATAATCTTCATAAACTATATGTATTATTTCCTCCACCAATACATCTATGTGCAATTATAGTCCATCTTGCTGAAGAAAAAAAAATGTACTTGAAGTCCAAAATTAAATCCCATATCAGAGTGATCCACAGCATTGGAAATAAAAAGAGTTGCACATTGGGAGTAGATTACATGTACTGATACTCTGTAAACTGGGCTTTATATTGCATGTTATACAGAAGTCTCATACAGTATGTTTATGATGAAGCAGACCTAGATGTTTGAGAAGCTTCTGAAAAGCATGATATTTTTCTTTTATTCATGTGATGCTGATGCAAGCATTGGGAATGCCCTTTGTAAGTAGCATGCTGCTGAACTGCTGTGCAATGAGCCCTGGTTCATACTTATGCAGTGCGGAATTCGCACCGGTTTCTGTGCAATTTCCGCACAGCATCATAATCACACCCGGTTCATGTGAATCGCTGTGGGTGTGTATGTTCGCAAAACGCGGTGCGATGTGCAGAATTGGATCGCATGGGTGTGAATACGTATGCAATCAGATTCTGGTGCGGACAAAAAAAGGGTCCTGCACTATTTTGGTGCGGATGTGGTTCGATCTCAGCCATACAAAATGTATGGCTCAAATTGCACCACACAGAAATCGCACATGATTTTCACAGGAATACGGTGCGGTTCCTGTGAAAAAAATCACATGCGGTGTGCCGCACCTCATCAGTGTGAACCCAGGCTAAATCGTGTGTGTCAAAACATTGCACATAAATCCCCCATATCTCTACAGTTAACACGGGCGACAGGAAATCAGTAATCAGTAAATTGGATCATGGGGGACATTCTTTTATTTTCCTTCTTTTAATAAAGGACTTGTCAAAGCCTGTCTCCTGTCTTTTTTCACATTATAGTTTTTATTTGTGAATGAGTAGCGGTACCATGTATCCCATACTCAATCACATGGGGGGGGGCTGGGATCTGGGGGCCCCTTTACTAAAGGGGGCTTCCAGATTCCAATAAGCCCCCTGCCCGCAGACCGTCACAACCACAGCCCGCCCAGGGTTGTGGGGAAGAGGCCCACAGTGCGTTACAGAGTTCAGTGCATTTGAAATATTGTATGGTGTTTTCCAGTTTTTGGCCATGCAAAATAAGATATGTGCGGTGTGCATAGGAATTTGTTCTCATGTATTTCAAACTCTAGTCTGGCCCCCAACAGTGTGAAGGTCAGAGAACTGGCCTGTTGTAAAAATTTGCGGACCCCTGGTGTAACATGTCAGTACCAAACTAATATTTACTATAAATGACTGTGGAAGATTAACAGGTCTAGAGGAAGAAATACTATGTTTGGCCAGACAAACAACACATTAGAACATAAGTAAATGTTTTTTGGTCTACTTGCACACTACAGGTACTGTAGGCAGCTAAAATTTTTTTTAATTTGCTAAATTAAAAACACACATACAAGAAACAGGATGGGCCAATTAAGTAGAGAAGGAAAATTTGTCTACAGGTAATAGTGTTGTATAGCGCATTATTTCTTGTTTGTAGCTAAGAATGTGAGACACGTATTCTCTAACAACATTGTAAGTGCTAGTGAAGTTGGTCCGTATATAGACACTCTGAGAGAACGATGGATTGCCATGTGCGTCCTATTTATAGTACATTTTCGCCATTGGCGTCCGTACGTGTATGATTGCTGGGCGGGTATATAATATATGCACGAGTGCACTCTCAGCCCCTGCGGGTGTAGATGATGGGTGAGGATGAAGTATTGTACATGACGCTTATGCGGTTTATTCAAGAATTTTGTGAGGCGGCTGAACAGGAAGATGCAGCATATGACCAAGCTGCCGCTCCTTTTGCTCGCTTACACATAACAGCCATGACTTTTTGCAGAATGTGCATATCTGGAAAATATGGGGGACTCGGATATCCTTTGCAGGTTTCATTTAGGAAGAGTTGCAATTGTGCACCTCTATGAGCTGGGATGTTCAAGTTGCTGACAACCCCTTGGGTCGGGGCAGCTTCCAAACCACCTCTGGACTTATTATTGGGATACGTCAACCAACTGTGTCCAGGGTGTTTATGCAGGTCCTAGATGCCATTGTTGACCTGGTGCCCTAATTTATTCACTAGTCACAAAATGAAGTTGAGTGGAATGAGGTGAAGGTGGCTTTTTACCAGCGTGAACAAATACCGCAAATCCATAGAGGCAGCGATCAGTGACTTATAGCGGGATTGCGGGCCTGAGGCGGGCATTCTGCCACTGGGGGGAACTGACTTGGTGTCCCTGACCGTGCTAAAAGCACTCACACTGTACTAATGATGCTGGGCAGGAAATGGTTAACGTGTGGGGCGATCAAAGGGTTAACTTTGTGCCTGTCCTGTGTCTGGGCACAGCCATCCAAAACAGTGTGCATGAGCTGACAAGGAGGAGAACTGTATTGTTTACATACAGTTTTCCCCATCGGAGATGCTCGTGAATCACCGGCCGCCAGCAAGTAATCACCGGCCGGGACCCTGTGATTGACAGCCGATGCCATAAATGGTGGCGCGGGTAGGGCGTGCACGCCCCTTTGCGCACCCGTGCTGCCCTGTAGCAGGATATCTGCTATAGGGCGGGCGGAAAAGCGGTGGTTATTTTAGCCAGTGTGTAGTCAACATGACAACAAGTTGTCCTGG